GTTACAATGTTCTTTGCTGCAATTGTTGCTGAAATGTGGTACTATGCAATTATGCCATTCTGATGCTGTTATAGATTATGCTATGTTACAATGCCAGTGCTATCCTCCATCATGCAATAGTTCTGTAGGCCATGCATTTCACTTGGTTGCAATGCTGCTGCTGCTGCTGCAAATGTGCTTGCCATGCTGCTGTTGCTGTGCACTACTCTACATAAATTCAGTACACTGAAGATTCAGATAAGTACTAACACTGAATTTTTTGTTGTTAACTGAAAATGGCTCATTTAAATTCAGTACACTAAAGATTCAGATAAGTACTAACACTAAAATAGTCATACAGATTTACATAAGTAGTTAACTGACACTCTAAAAATTGCACTAAACTAGAGACATTCAGATAACTAGTAGCACTAAAATGAGTCATACAGATTTGAGTTAACTAAAAGTAGTCATAAAAATAAAGTGCATTACATAATACTGGCATTACTCCAATAATTTCAGTACAACTAATTGATAACTCCAACTTAAGGCAGCAACATTACAGCAACAATGAATTAATCAAATTCCTCTAAGATCTCCTTCACCCTCCTTATCTTGCTGTTGTTCTCCTCCTTGTGCCTGAACAAATCACCAATCGTGTACTCTAATTTCTTCTTCTCCTTCTTCAGCTCATCCCTCTGTGACACCACTTTGTCCATCTCTTCTTTCATCTTGTCCATCTCTCCTTTCATCTTGTCCATCTGTTGCTTCATCTCATCCCTCTCTTTCTCTGCCTTAGCCGTCAAAACCTGATGTATGCTAGTGCTAGATTTATCAGCCAGCTTCTTCTTCTCAAGCTCTTGCTCTAGGTCAGAAAGAGCAAGTCTTGCATTGCCCAACTCAGTAATTGCCTGCTCCTTGTCAGCCACCATCTTAGCAAAATCTAGTTTAAAAAACCTTAGATCTTTTTCCATCTTTTCCTTCTCTTTCACAACCCTGAAATTTTCTTCAGCATTGACTACATTTTCCCTGAGCCTTAGCTTGTTCTCATCTTCATACATGCCCCAAACCCTAGCTAAACTCATCTTCAGAGTGGCAGGCCATTCAGGGTCAATCCACTCCACAAAGTTGCATTTAGGAATTTCCTACAAATAAGAAAGAAAACAAATTTAGATAAATGAAAGAAGCTTGGGGTTCAGTTAAATTCAGTTATGTGCAGTTAGGTTCAGTTAAGTTCAGTTAAGTTCATTTGGTTCAGTTAAGTTCAGTTAGGTTCAGATAAGTTCAGTTAAGTTCATTTGGTTCAGTTAAGTTCAGTTAGGTTCAGATAAGTTCAGTTAAGTTTAGTTAAGTTTAGTTAAGTTCAGTTAGGTTTGGTTAGTTCATTTAAGTTCAGTTAGTTCATTTAAATTCAGTTAAATTTAAAAACAACATGCTGTTAACTGAAAAATCAAGTTAAGTTCAAAAACAAAATGCTGTGACAAACTCTGTAACAAATGACAGTAAGATGAAACATTCCAACAGTTTGGATTTAATTGTAGATCTAACTAACCTTTTGTGCACAAGCAAGATACCTCCTTCCACTATCAACTGATTCAAAGGACACCAACTTCTCTCACACACAACTGTGTTCACATCGAGCTGCAAGATCTGGAGCAAGGGCTCTCCACTCAGAGCAGAAAATGGTAGCAGGAGCAGGAGCCTACAACACATTCTAGTCAGCAAAATTCCCAAATCTTGCACTAAACCCTAACTGCCCCTAAACTGCCAGAGGAGTAGTGGTAGTGACGAACTAACCTCACTTGTGACAGAGTAGCCGTCCGACGAGGAGCTGGATCCTTCACTCCAAGAAACCATGACGGCGAGCTGGCGTCGCCGGCGAGCTGGACGGCGGCGAGCAGAGGAAGCAAACGAGGGAGCAGAGGGAGCAAACGAGGGAGCAGACGAGTGGAGGGGGAGCTGCCGAGTGGAGGGGGAGCAGAGGGAGAATATGCCAAGGAATATACCAACACATGTGCCACATTGTGTAGTAGTGCGGGTTGATTCGTCAGAAAGGGAGGGGGCTAAGTGAAAAACTCACGGCGCTGACCAGCCAGGCCACTTGGCATCCACTTGGCGAGTTCTGATTGACTGTGGACTAAACTTACACATCCATGACAAGTTCAGGGACCAAATAATCCACTTTTGCAACTTCAAGGACCAAACCATCACCTGACATGCAAGTTCAGGGACCTGCAGTGCTATTACCTCAAATATATATGTCCTAGCCCCATACCGCACCATTCGGATAGAGCATACAAAGATCAAGATTTTTCTTACAATATTGCTTAACAAGTGGAGTAATTTGTCTAGATTCCATGCAGATTTTTTTTTCATAGAATACACTTAGCAAGTAGTTGGGGTTTGGATGGTGTCCCTTTTCGGATCTTTGATAAGCTTTTTGAACATTAATTAGTGCAAGAGGGCACACCCTAACCCCTTGGTGCAAATAGGACGTTGCCTCTAAGATTACGCCCTTTTTGTTGTTGTTGTTAGTATTGACAATGACATATGTGTCTTGTTGATTTTTATGTTGGTACATGCCCTAGGTTAAAAAAAACATAGATGACATGGTCTAAACTAGAGTGACCAGATTCACTCAACTTCCCTAGTTCGCACATAGAAAATGTATTAAAAGCTCAACATAGTTTTGATGACATTCACTTGCGCTAACCACACTACTGCGAATGAAATGCGCTCTATACACAACAGAAAATTACATTGAAAGGTTGCAAAATTAAATTGTCGGTAGCATCGATAGATGCATGTTATACCTTTTCTCAATTTCTGTAACTTTTTGAACAATGAATTAGGGGTAGTGGCCACAAGTGCGCCTAAGTCCATTAGTGCGTACAAGATGTTGCCCCCAAAACCACACCACTTTTTTGTCGAGAATTAGAGGCACACGCGTGGACATTTAGCCATTGACATACAAGTCACGTGTAATATGAAAACAATATCAGGGTTTGCATGTCATACTCAATTCCCCCTTCGTTCTCGGATATCACTAGCAAAAAGTATATAATGCCGAACAAGTGGGTCTAAGTCCATTAGTACATCAAGATTGCATGTCTGATGGATTTGGTCTTCGCCGCCACCCACGTTTGTGTCGCGACAGTCATCTGGTGTAGCGGGGCTTCCTAGTTGTGAATCCAAATCTCTTCATCCACAAAAATCGGCCCCAAATGCATTCCAACCAATTTTACATGTCTTGCTGACTTGGCATGCCCGGTAGCCATGAGAAAGATATGGTGCAAGCCCACCACAAAAAATCCACATTCCGTGGACAAGAGCACCCACAAATGGAGAGATTCTGATCACAGGTTGCAACCAATATCATGAGATCTTCTGCAACATGGAGAGATGAATGAAGTTGACAAGGACACTTGGTCTACTTGTCTTTTAGTCTGAAATGTTGACAAGATGCATACAATGCTGCAAAAAGAGCCCTTTGTTTTGAACTTAAGCACTAGCCTGGAACTTTTATCTCTCACCAACACGAACACACTTGTATGTTGTACTTGGTGTTGTCTGAAAGAAAATAGATGTGTAAATGGGTACTGAACAATACACACACTCTTCTAGGACATTTGATCTGAAAATCAACTTTTGGTGGGTGTGAAGCTATATATGCAATTCCACACTGTACAAAATCAAATCTGTTACCAATCTTTATGCACAAATATTGGTCACATATTTATTATGTGTGCCCCGTAGTGGGTGTATGCTTCTAGTGCCACACCAGGGGGAGCCTTGGTAGAAACTTTATGAGATTCATTTGGTTCTGCACTTGCTAGGCGTGTAGGTGGTGTATGTAATTTTCTTCGTACTGACGAGTTATTCTGTCTCAATAAAAGTAGGTTACATTTTGAATCTTGTACATTTACCAATGAGAAAATTTTACTGCTAAATTTGTATAAACATTTAATAAGAATGTAAAATACATTCTACTCCATCCGTTTCTAAATATAAGTCTTTTTAGAGATTTCAATATGGACGAAACAAAATGAGTGAATCTACACTTTAAAATATGTCTATATACATCCATATGTAGTCTGTATTGAAATCTCTAGAAAGACTTATATTTAGAAACGGAGGAACTATAATCATTTTTCATAAAAAAAATAGTTATCAACCACTCTCTAACAACTTCACCAATGGTTGTTAAAAGATAGTGAATTCTGACTACATTTTTCTAGAACATACTTCATCTGTCTCGGTTTACAAGACCTCCTCGATTCTTACCTAAAGTTTGATTGATAAATTACAAACAATGTATATGTCACAAAAAATGCATCATTAGAAGAACCCCGAATATCCAACGAATGTCAGATTTTTAGTCATGACAAAACGAACGTTTTCCATAGCTAATTATGTTCGTTGAGGATGGTTGCTTGCAAACTAAACTTATCATCATCACGCCAATATGAATTGCCATGAAAAATATCAGATTTGCCATGCCTATAAATCTGACGTTAGATTTTTAGCGTTTCCGCATTAGAAATTTTAATATACGTTAATGGTATATAACTCACAATTTGTTATTCATTTTTTTCAGTCAATTTAGGTCAAAACTAGAGGGGGTCAATAAATCCGGTGGAGCAAGCAATGTATTTTGAAACGGAGCCAGTAAATTCCCATAGAAACACACACTGTGGTCCCCACACAAAAGATCTAAATTTTGTGGACAGGAGCACGCCGGAGCGGATTCTGGCCACTTGGCTTGCAAGTAGGCTCCTGAGATCTTTTTTTGCGCGGAGAAGTGAAACACATGGACAGCGCCGCCGAGACAGCGACTCCCCGTCCCCTCCACCGCCGCTATAAACCCTCCCCCCTCGCCGCCTCCATCTCCACCATCGTTCTTGCCCCCAAGCTTCATTTTTGCGATCCACTTGCTCCCAGTTCCCGGTGTAGTAATTCTTTGCCCTTGTGAGTAGTACTGCTATCAATCAAGGGTGGGAAACAGAGCTGCTATTTAGAGAATGGAGTGCAGCGGCGACGAGGTGGTGGAGCTGAGCTGTGCCCGCGCCGGCGGAGACCCCGGGGAGTACGCCGCGGTGCTGAAGAGGAAGCTGCAACTGTACTGCGCCGCCGTGGCCAAGACCATGGTATGCTCAATTCCTTTCCTTTCTGGTCTGACTGAGTTTTAGGTCGATCTGGAGCGTTTCATAAAGCTCTACCAATTCCACCGCAGATCCCTCTTAGAGGAGTTGTCCGGCAATTTTTTGTTTACAAGAAAACACCGCACGGATCTGCTTCAGTATTATCAGTTCTGATGAACAGCCTGACCAGTACAATTGCCTTACTGGCCGAATTGCTGCCATACTAATGCGCTAAGATTTGTTACTATTACAATTTACATGAAAATGGTAGTACCAGCTGAGTATCCTTTTCTGACCAGGAACCCTCGCGAAACAAAAAGTGGTAATGATGTGCCTTTTATTCCTGAATGAAGGCGAGGGGAGAGGAATCCTGGTTTCCTTGGTTCTCAGGGGAATCTTGGTGCATAGGATAGGATCGCAGTTGGTTTTAGTGTGACATACTGACATGTGACATGTAACATGTTTCTAGGAGGGTAGCTGACTTGTTTCAACCACATATACAGATGATGAGTATATTCTGATGGAATATGGTCGGCCATAGATGACTATATACTTAAATGATTTGATGTTGTCGGAGAGTCTGAAACAATTGGGTTCTCCAATCTTTTCATGTCTGATATGAAAAAGTATGCTCTGATATTTTTCCTGAGAGTGACACGTAAGCACGTAACGACATAATTCTTTGCTTTAATCCTCCTACACCATTCAATTCACACTTTGTGCCTGTTAATAGCCGAGTGTAGATGAGTGGCTGAATCAATCGTCCCTAGTTTCTACCATTTCATATCTCACATCAGTATTTCTCTTATCCACATTTACCCATTGGTTCAATTGAAACTTACGGTTTATTTATAATCGGTAACCGTTCGGGCAATATGTGTGATTTTGCATTGCTCAACAATCAAACTAGATTTTGCAGTGTGCTCTGGCAAATGCCATCTAAGTGTGATGTCCATGAGCTAATTTTTCCTGTAATTTGATTTCAGGAAGCTAAACCTCAAGAATCTTCTTTGAACTGCCTCAATTCACAAGCTTCGGACACTTCGCCATTGGTTTCTCAAGCTTCTTTTGATTGTATGTATGAACGAACTTCGATATTCACATTCATTTAAGTCCAAGTAACTTCGCAACAGGAAGTAATCAAAAGGCAGTAATTGACAAAGTACAGTTTAGGTTGACAGTATTCTGCAGTTCTGTTAGAGTGAATGTTATATATCAAATCCACCTCTGAACATTAGGTGTCCTTTTATTTGGTGCTCTCTGGCTTCTAGCACTCTGAATCAGCAGAAAGAGGCAAATGTCGCCAGTAGTTTCTGTAGAATAGGTTAACTGTTGTCCAGAGAATCCATCAAAATGGGGAGAAATTTTCACTCTGGCTTTGGCAATATGGTGCTATGTTGACATGTCTGGAGAAAAGGGCTAAAATACATATAATATTGTTGAGATCAAATACGTAAAAGATGATAAATGGATATTTTGATCCTGTTTCATCGATGCTGAATACTGGCAGTTGCATCAGAGAAGCATTCTTGTTGACACCAGTTTGCATTCTGACCTTGTCTAGAGTGTAGACATATTTTCACATCATAGTATCTGTTTTAGAAGAGCACCTACAAGCCTGATACCGGACTAGGCATTTTTTGTAGCATTAGAACTTCTAACTCTTGTGTGCTATCCTCATTAAGCCTTTTTGTTCTTTACTTCTATCCATAGGTGACGGTACTGTTGTTCAAGGAAAGCCAGCTAATAGTTGTACATCAAAGGAGCAGTCAGATGATGACGATGGGGATCTCGAGGAAAATACAGACCCTGCCAGTGCCAAGCGCGTGAAGAGGTACTGCAGACTTTTTCTCATCACCATTATCTTCAACATGCAGAACAAAGCTTTAATCATTATAAGTTTCTAATGGTATCATGCCAACATTATGTTCTGCTGTCACCAGAAATTGTCATCCAGAAATATCTGCTTTCACTTTTTAGCAATGTTCAGTTATCTAGTTGGAAACAAATATTTGATAGTAATGGGGCAATAAATTAGTTTATCTTGCAAGGATATACTATATCTCAATCTCTTTCCTTGCCCTGCCAGTTGAATGGTTCAGGACAGGTGAAAGGGCAGAGGTTACCATAGAGGATCCAATCCCTTCAAACATATATGCTCATGTCTTTTCATATTGGTACCAGATTATTTTTTAAACACCCAACATATTTCACAATAAAAACTAGAAATGGCCTTGTTTTCTAAATTTAAACCATTCTCACCAAAGTCCCAAATAGCAGGAGGCTGTAGTTTCGCACTTGGTTATTTTCAAGTAAATTCCTTACCAATGTGCCATGTTGGAAAACTAGTACAATGTTTGCCATGCTGAATTTTCTCTGTTTTAATTCTATGATCAGGATGCTGTCAAATCGAGAATCTGCCAGGAGGTCAAGGAAAAGGAAGCAAGCCCACCAAAATGATATAGAATCACAGGTTTGAAATTGTGACTAACGATGTTTGAAACTCAACTGAAGTTAAGCCGGCCATGCTAATTACTGCACTATCATCTAGGTTACCCAGTTAAGAGCTGAGAATGCATCTTTGCTAAAGCGCCTGACTGACATGACTCAGAAATACAAGGAAGCTTCCCTTGGCAACAGGAATCTTACAGTTGATATTGAGACTATGAGGAGAAAGGTATATCCTTTTCTTGATAACTCTTAACTGCATCCTGCAACCTGCTGTAACTATTTGAAGGGCTGTGCTAGTGAATCTGTTGATTATAGCCATGGCATAATATTGTGCATCATATGTGTCATTACTAGTTACTTTTTTAGGCTCTGCACATACCATGGTTGATGTTCTTTCTTTTCTTGGGAGAACCCATGCATAAAGCGATCTGGGATTTGACATTCCTTGTTTAGCATCATTTGTAACTTCCTATTCCTAACTGTACTATTAAAGATTACATTGCCATTCTGGGTTTGAGTTTGCCATTCTCATAAGGAGGCAGGCAGGTACTATTCTCTTCCATTAGTGAACAAGGAGTAGTTTAGTTCTATGTTTCACTCTCCTATTCTTTTTATTTTTTTGGTGTCAAGAATAACAATGTTTTCTTACAGGTGTGGGTGTTGTAAAAACGAAACAAAATATAAAAAAGCGCTCATACCATGTTGCAATGCTCAGAGAGTGTGTCTCATTAAGCCTGTGGTTTTGGTCCTTATGGGAGGGTGTTCTATCTCATACCGCACCTGAGGAGTCCAAACAGGCACAATCATACATACATTTGTTAATGCTTGTGTGTGAGTACATGCCAAACTCTGTATTTATGTCTTGGTAAAGGTGTTTCTAGAACATCCATTTTACAGCCATTACTTGTTGTCTTTTCTCTGCAAAACACCAGGCGTATTTCAATATTGTATTCACAAACATGTATATACAGAACTTATGTCTTTTAAAACAGACGTATGTCACCCCTATGTGTATAAACTGTTTTTTTTCTTTCCAAAACGTTGGCAGTAGCTTATACTTAGAATCTACCAAAATAGTCTAGATGAGGTGCTATGTGTATAAACTGTTTTTTTTCCTTTCCAAAACGTTGGCAGTAGCCAATACTTCGATTCTACAAAAAATAGTCTAGTTGAGGTGCTAATGAGATACAGCTTGCTTTATATTATCTGAAACAGGGTCTATAAACAAAATGTAACTAGTGCCATATTTTTCTTTTCTTTTCTATGCTAACAAAGTACTTGTGTTCAGGTGAATATAGCTGAAGAAGCTGTCAGGAGAGTAACTGGAGCAAGCTTGATGTTCTCCACTACATCAAACAACGTGCCCTTGTCTTCATGTGTATCTGTTGCAGCTTCTGCTGATGCTGTTCCCACTGAGGAAAACATGAGCCATTTCCTCCAGGGTTTACTTGAAGACAATCTGATCAAACATGACCTCTCAGAGGTAGCAACCCCTTTGCCCAATGGGGAAGAGATGACCTCAAGGCCAGCCCCTTTGCAACGCGTCGCGAGCCTGGAGAACCTGCAGAAGAGGATCCATAGAGATTCAGTGCACACTGAGGACACGTCGAGTTTCCCGGACCATGAAGTCCCTGCCAATGGTTAGTAACTGGACTGTATAATTCTCCAGTGGGCTAAGTTTTGTCGTAAAGTATGGAGGCTGTGGCGTCCGTGTATATCTGGATGCTGAACTTTGTGTATACTATTTTGAAGGTAAATAACCTGCACTTCAGTCTTCTTATCCTGCTTCTTCGGGCTTCTCAGCCTTGTGAATATCGTGCACAAGCAGATAACTGTACTGCACATGTCAGTGATGAGCCTGAACTGTGTTTTCCATTTGGTGAACTTTGTGATGGTACTGAGGAATTGTGCCTAAATTTTGAGAGGGCTGTTGAACTCTCTCACTGAACTCATTATATATGGGGAACTATTTGATCAGATCATGCCATAATTTTATGACAAATACAGTGATTTTTGGTGCTATAATTTCAGTTTGCACACCAAGCAAACATAACAACAACAAATCAGAAACTGAAAGTCGATTTGTATTATGGCATACAGCACTGTATTTCAATTACCTTCAAAATAGTATACATGTTGAAGTCCAGCGAGAGCCCAATAAATTTTGGTGTGCAAACTGAAAGTCGATTTGAGTTACGGCATACAGCACTGTATTACAATTACCAAAATGCTCTTAAGTTTTGTGTAATTTTAGTCCAAGTTGGCCCATGGGCCTTAAGAAGTGAGAAACACCTTGTTGTTCTCCACTACATCAGATGTATGATCCTGCTTCTCAGCCTTGTGAATATCACGCATAAGCAGATAACTGTATTGGACATGTCAATGATGAGCAAAACTGTGTTTTCCATTCGGTTACCTTTGTGATGGTACTGAGGAATTGTGCCTAAATTTTGAAAGGGCTGTTCAACTCTCACTGGACTCTCATTATATATAGGGAACTATTTAATCAGACCGTGCCGTAATTTTACGACAAATACAATGATTTTTGTGCCATATTTTCAGTTTGCACACCAAACCAACATAACAAAAACAAATCAGAAACTGAAAGTCTATTTGTATTATGGCATACAACACTATATTTCAATTACCTTCTAAATAGTATACATGTTGAAGTCCAGTGAGAGCCCAGTAAATTTTGGTGTGCAAACTGAAAGTGGATTTGTATTATGGCATGAAGTACTGTGTTTCAATTACCAAAATGCTCAAAGTTTTGTGTAATTTTAGTCCAAGTCGGCCCATGGGCCTTAAGAAGTGAGAAACACCGCGGCGCATGGAGAAGAGAATTTTGTTTCCCTTTTTCAATGTTCTTTCCTGAAATTCTTCTCTGAAAACGGGGATGAATGGCTAATGGTCATAGCCCGTGTCAACGATTCCATTCTCTCGTACAGCTATCCTAAACAGATGGTAAACTGATCTAGGCAGGATATAAAGAAGATGGCGTAAAATAGTATCTCTTTTTAACATTGACATAAAGCTTGTTTCGGTAAATATCCCATGAGAACCATGATGTGTGGGACTGTTCTTCTGTGATTTTGACAAGTTGTCTTTGCACTTTTTGGAGCATAGGGGGGGATAACTTATTCTTCTGTACTTCTAATGGAAAGTTAGGAGGATGACCAAGTGGATACACTAGTTAATTGAAGAGATAATGGTAGCAAAGCGCACCGTGTTTTGGATAAAACATGTTGCCTTGATCTTGGGCAGAACTCCTTGTTGCTATGTCCGGGGACTTGATATGTGTATTCACATGCTTATCCATAGTCCTTTGCATCACACATCTTACTGAAAAAGGCCCCTGATTAGATAAAAATGCTACTCCCTCAGTCTAGATACATCCGTTTGAGCGACAAGTAATATGGATTGGAGGGAGTAACACTCTTTTTCTTCAGTTTTTTAAACATATTTATACAAAAATGAATTGTCAGAGTTTCATGGTGAAGGCCATGTCCATATCTAACTGTCATCTGCTTAGAAAAAGAGAAGGTTCAACACATCGCTGGTGGACACGCCGAGAAGATATGCACCCAAAAGATAAGAACACCTAACTTATCTGCAGATTAAGGGTATGCACTTGGCCTGTTTAAAGCTTTGAGCTTTGATTTTATCTCACAGAAACCCTTTCTATAAGTCATGAAGACGTGGACCAAAAGACTAAGAAACTGTACAATCTATTGATTGACTGAAAAACTCAAGCTGAGTAACTTGCTTGATCACCTGATTCCAGTATGCTATATGTCTTGCCCGAAAAGATTGTTCTGATTCAGACCAGCACTTCTTGTCTTGCATATTTCTCGCACGTTGTTTACTTTGCTTACAGCTCTCCTCCTCCTGTATTGTGACCAGACAGGTGCATTCAAATACTGATTTCCTTTTCACCGCTTTATGGGGCGAGGTTACAATGGATAGCCAACTTAGATCACACAAAAAGTAAGCATCTTGTATGTATGTGCGACTGAGTGTCTTGATTCTCGAACCAATGACGAGGTGAGCTGAATTTCTGAGCTACCTCGTTTGTCAGTACTGGTTGTTCCATTCCCTCATGTCCAGGTCAGGTCACATTAGTTTTGCACAAAGAACTGGCAAATTGCATCTCCTGAGAGTAACAGCTTTGGCAATTTGCAGGTTGCAACACCATTTTCTAGATGTAAAGTGGTTCCCCTGCCCCATTGAGCATAGCAAAGCAACTTAGTGCCTGACACGAAACACGAATGAAAGCAGAGTGCTTCCTAGAGAAGTAGTAACAGGCAAGAAATTTCAGTGAGAAGCAGAGTTCAGTGGGTTGAACTTCATTCAGGGGAGCAGGTGATCACTCTGACATGACTAGTGACACCAAGCATGGTTATCTTTTCTTCATCGGCGAATTAGCTCTGACATTGTTGCATCATATCACACGATGTAGAGACCGGGAGGATAATCTTTCCATTGTGTCAAAAAAGGGGGAAAACCCTGAGACAATTTTCTGTGGTGTCTATGCTCTTACAAGAGAAACCTGCATTGCTGCTCTGAAGAAAATAGCTCCCACTGATAGCTGCTAGCTGCAAACTAAGGAACCAATCAATCACCTGTTGCTTTACAGAGTGTGCACAAATATCTTCCAACAAGGCCTCCTTATCAGTTGATGCGGCAGGTTGTTTCTAGCTATCTTATACCTTCACTTGATTGAGAGTTGATGCTACTGACATCTACTCCGCACCTATATCTATCTATCTATGGTCGCATTCGCTCCGAACATATCATGGCGAATCGACGATGCCGAGAGCCCTGGCAGCTGTTCATAGTCCTGGGAAACAACCAACGGTTGCCATGGCCGCAGGCCTCCCTCTCACTTTATTCAGGATAACATATCCTTCAGAAAGTTAATTCACCAGAAATGAAGCTCCCAGAGCCATTGATAGGGACACTCTACTTCTCAGCATGTATTTATTTTTCTCCGCGCACTTATCTCATTCAAATTCAAGAAAAAAATTTCTTGGAAAATAATAGGATAGAGACATAGAGGTTGAGTTGCTGGGCTAAAAAATGGCAACTAGTCTGCTCTGCTATGAACATAACAGAGCAGACAGGAGCCCTGGTTCGACGGATCTGAGGCTGAAACACGAGCTATCATTTCTGTGCTAGCAGGCCAGCCACAGGTGAGCCAAACATGTCACTGCTTCTGTGTCTGTCTGTTACTACAGTTTCGTTATCTTGATAGCACTAATCAAAGCAAAAGGTGCGTGTATCATTGTACATTCACTCATTTGTCAAATTCTATAATGATAAACATAACAATTCAGATACCATAAATAGATGTCTCTTGGTGTTGTGAAAAATGCTCGAGTGTGCTGATTATTCAGGGGTAGCGGCTAAAACTGTCGCGCGAGTGCTGTCAATGTTGTGAAATGATTAAGAGGCTGTCTAATCAGAGTAATTAGAAATGCCTGATTTTGACCGCGGTCTTGTTAATTAGAGTAGAAACTTCTTTTTACAAGTATTTTGTTAGTTAGTAATATTGTGCCTTTTACTAAACAAAAACGAGGTATGGCATATACATGAAGTATAAACTGTATAATAGTATTTTTTTAGAGTTACTATTTACCAGAATTTTGGTGAACATCATGCCTTTCATTTTTTTAAACTTGATCAGTTGCCTTCCAGTTAACTGATACGCAAAAGGCATAGTAGTATATCAAGAGCACACACTTATGGGCTAAATTCTGATTATTCGTCGGTTATTGTGGGCTAACTTCTCATTGATCTACAGTGTGCTGCTTACAGAGCTGAACATACATAGAACTTTGTTTCAATCTCTTCGATCTTTTGCACCGTCTTTACTTGCTCAACACATTCAGATTGTTGCCAAAAAACTTACCCTATCTTTTCTTGTATACAAATGGAACTTACATATAGCAGTGTACAGTGAAATATTCAAAACAGAAAACAAGTAAAAAAACAAACAAGCTAGATTCACATATATTGACATTTTAGAGTACCTTTTTACACCTCCATTAACTAGCTAAGCTGCAAAATAACTTCTTCTGAATAAGAAAGTTACTGAACTTGTTCCAAATCTTCACAGCTATGCCAAGCTCTTACTACATCCCCTAGCTCCACCCTCAACTGGTCCCAACCAAACACTTGAACCTCGCCGTCGCCGTCGTCCATCTCCAGCCGCATCTCGACGAGCATTAGTGGCGGCACCAGCTCCGAAATCTCCACTGATATTGCCGGCCTCCCTGCTGGAGGACGGCGCTGGCACCCCACTCCTTTCTTCCCCACCACGACGTACCCGAGCTTCCCGCTCGCCCGGCTGAGCTGCTCCAGCGTCTGCTCCGGCGACGCTGTCGTCATGAACCGCTTCTCCCTGCTCTTGCTCCCGCCGAACAGCCCGGACAGGTCGAGCCCTTGCGACATGGATATGATGTCGAATGCGTTCACCGCCGGCGCCCGGAACGCCAGCGCGCGCTCTGGCTGGCCGTCAAGGAGGCCGTCGAGCTGCGAGTCGAGGCTGAGGGAGCGCTTGACGAACCATGGGTGCGTCGCCGCCAGAGCCTCCACGGAGACGCGGGTCGCCGGGTTCGGGTCGAGCAGGCGGTGCACCAGGCGGCGCGCCGGCGGGGACACCCAAGGCGGGACCTCGTACTCACGGCGGTGCGCTTTCCGGCACATATCAGGAATGTTCGCGTCGTCGAAGGGCAGGCGTCCGGCGAGGAGGACGAAG